TCCATTTGGTGAAGTAAACTAAGTAGCAGTTACAGATAATAACATTTTTATGGATAATTCATAACTTCATGTTTTCAAATTGCTTATGATAATCATACAATTTTAATACAAATGAGTTTAATATTATATATTACATTAAAACAGACATATTACCAAAATCCATTCTATTATGACTTGTGTATTATAAAGAGACAGTTTGTAGAAACTATGCTTAGTATTGCTTAGTTCATATTACGAATTCTGGAATTTAAGAATCAACAATTTAAATAAATTCAATATACTGTACATTTACTTCTGCTAATTTCATCTTTCACATTTTTTTTTATTTTTGAGATGCTTTTGAAGTCTTAATTCTATTTTTCTTCGCTTTAAATATTTTTTTTTGCAGCTTCTAGCTTAGACATTTTTTTTTTACTATATTCTCTCTTTTACTAATTTCATTCTCGTATGAGAATTTTTTGTTATATTTTTAAAAGCTGATTGCCCTTTTGTGATCCAAATATTTGTATCATCTTTATAGCATTCTTTTTCCAAGTTGTCTGATAATATTAGTACTAGTTAAGACGGAAGAGAAATAAAGAAATATCTCCAACATAAAATGCTAGAGTCCAAAGAGTCATTTGTGGTACTCTCTGATTTCTGAAGCTTCCGTCTTCTTAGCCATTATTGAAATTCTAATTTAAGAGTTATTAATATAAGGTTTGAAGAAAAAGCTATTTGCATTATTTCTGGGCTGAACGTAGAAGTATATCTTGAAAAAACGTGGTATTAGTTGTGTGCTTAGTCAAAATTTTGATTATTACTTTTGGGCTTAAAGTCAGGTAAAAGGTAATGACTTTCATTATCATTTTTCCTCTGAAAGTAAGAAAAAACTCTCGGCATCATGTCTGAGGCCAAAAGTAAAAGAAAAAAGAATTTAAAAAAAGTCGTGGCATAGTTAAAGCCCTAAAAGTGAAGTAAAATAAACAAATTGGTTAAAAATTTTTTCTACTTCATGAATGTTGATGCTGATAAACTATGGTATGCTCTTCAACCACTGTGTCTGTACTTACTTTTTACTTGTATGCACCTTTGCTCTGAATTTAATCATTTTTTGACGCTTTACTTACACTAAAGTTGTTAAGTAACTAGGTTGTTAAGCAAAGATTACCTGACCTCTTTAACATTTCAAAGTGTAATGTAACATAAATTTATTCTTTTCTTATGTTTTCATCTAATAAAATTTTTTTTATTTCAGAGTTCAGAAAACAATATGGTAATGTAATACTATACACACAACTTTCTTTTTCTAATCCTTCTAAACACTACCAAAGTCCACACTTCTCACGTAGAAAAAGTCCTTGGGAGGGCAAAGTACTCCTTTTTTACTCAGAAACAAGTTGTATGATTAAATGTTGCAAGCTTTCACCGTTAGAATTGATATGCATCTAATTGACAAATTAAACAGTTAATTTTATGTGCAGTTGGGAATAACTATTCAAAAGTCAATATGAATGATGTCTTCAATTAAGAACATTAAGTTTGAAAAAATATCACAAGCATAACCAGGACAAGGTCGATACCACACTTCTGTTACATGGACCTGTTATAAATAGAAGGGACTAAGACACAATTAATAATGGGGCAACGGAAGAAGAAAAAGAGAATATCGTGATTTCGATGGCTCACTCTTAGAGTCTGGATCCATTGCTGCGATTCTCACGACCATCTCTGACAAACTTATAAATAGATGACTTTCAACAGATGCTTGAGAATTTGTGACACGTTATGGCTCCCAGTGAGATATATCTAACAGAAGCAAAAGCAGCAGCATTATAAGTGTTCTATAAGGGAGAATGATATTATGTAATAATATGTAATATTTTTTTAACAGATCTTGGTAGATATCTGTTCAGTCTAGCTTCAGGACCCTTTTGCCACATTGTTGGTGAAGTACAACCACAAGTAGCAGAATAAGTGAAGGTCAACAGCTATCCCATGTAAAAAAATGTCTAGGCTATGCTTGGACTTTGCAAAGATTATGATGAGAATTAAGTAAGCATGATTAGTACATACTCAAGATAAAATAAATACATAAGATGAATATTTTATACAAGTATGCACGTCCATGACACTATCACAGATGGTATCTAGCTCATGTGCTACGGAGACCTAGGACCAAAATAAACTCTAACTCCTCATTAATAAGTCTAGATCCATAGGTAATATTCAGATGATGCGCTACAGGGAGTTGGGGCAAAAGTAACCCTTTACACTTTATTTAAAAGCCTAGGTCTATTAGGGCACTTATCCTGCACATGACCTCTGATAGTGCTATAAGTCTGAACACTTAAATTGGGTGTGAGAGATTATTCTAGCCTCAACTCTCTGAAGTACACAATCTGGACACTATCTGTGGCAGTACTATGGACCTGCACACGTAAAGTAGGTGTTAAAAGTTATTTTGATTTCTACTCCTGGAATCACACAAAATAGACACCACCTCTGGCAATTACATGGATTTAGACTCTTAAATTAAGATTAAGAGGTTGTTTTCGCCCTAACTCCCCAGATCACATGACCTGAACACCATCAGTGATGGTGTCATAGACGTGCATGGTTTAAAAGAATGTACATTTTATGTACTGATTATATTTCGATTATATCTTGAGTATTTATTAATCATGCTTATTTTATTCTGGACATGATTTATGCATCGTTCAAGCATAGTCTGGACATAATTTGTTCACATGAGATCCATTTGTTTGTGAGTTTTTGTATTTTTTTTCTTTGTTTATTTATACTTTTTTTTCTACTTAAATTACACAAAAAATTAATTTATCTCTTCTCAACAGAACTAAAAGAAGATATCAAATGTGTGCTACTGGGGCTATTTTGCCCTACAGTTGGAGTACAGAAAAAAAGTAGATCACCAGTTCTCCCGTATACGAATAAATTGAAGGTACTCGTAATAGTATAACGATGTCCTTCACCTGCAGAAGTATTTGATTCGATTAAAGCTTTTGACGTAACAACATTACAAGTAACCACTATATACTCACCACCAGCATATGTGTCGTCAACGCTAATCATTGATCTAGTATCAGCAGATGTGTCTGAACCAATACCAATTATTAATTTGCTACCAATATATGTACCTGATCTAATACCAATTATCGATCTAGCATTGGAGCTTCAATCTTCAATTGTTGATTTGGTATAGTCATCATCCTTACTTGTACCTAATATTCCACTGATTCCAGTCATATGATTGTCACTTTTACCTTGTCTGATAGATGTCGATGTAGACTCATCACTTAAAGTGATTTGTAAAGTAGCATGGATAAAAATTGTTCAGGCAGCTATTAGTGATGACCTAAATACTTAAACCTTACGCCAAAGCAGAAAAGATCAACATTATAAATACGCGGAAAGTGCTAATGAAATATAGCAAACCATTAAAAATTTTATTCTTGGCTGATGATTTAATGTAGACTTTATTGGTGTAAAAAAGTAATTTGTTTAGAAGAAAGTTCTTTATCACGGGTTATGTTGGGATATATGCTCCCCGTGTATTTTTTGTGTGTAAAGACAGTTGGAAACGGGGGCCCATCAACCAGACAGTGTAAGGAAAAAGCGTGCACTTGTAGGAAAAGAAAAGACAAAGTAGTCGTGGCGGCATAAAGAGAGAGCAGAAAAGAGCCAGCCAATACAGGGATCCATCTGCCAGGAAGTGTAAGATTTTTAGAAAGATTTGAGTGATCTAGACATGTTACTCTTACTTTTATGGATTCACATTAACTTTTTTCATAAGATCTAAGAAAATTGAGACTAAAAATCGAGAACTTATGAGTAAAGAAAACGTACAGAGTTTATTTGAATCCAAAACAAGAAAAGGTAGTGTCTTTTTAAAATCTTAAGTGATTATGAGTTTTAAATATATTGGATATTGAGAAAAATGGCATGTATAGAAGATATAGAGTGCTTGTATTGAAAGTGCCATCATCTATGCATATGCACCTCGTGATACATTAATTTAGATGTATCAACATTAGCTTGAATACCATTGGTCGTATTGATTTCTTATTTACTGACAAGCATTAGAGTCACATAACTACATTATTTGTAATTATGTTGGTTGCAGCTTTGCACACTAACTCTAAATTATTTTGAAAACTTCCAGTTGGTTACTACTTAGATACAGTTATGAGCAAGTATTAGTCATGCTTGTCTAGAAATTATAAGCTTTGACGTAATGTATACGTCCTATCATATGCTTATAAAAAGTGATAACTGAATGAAAAACTTCAGTAATTAGTTGTTTTTGAAATTATATTATAACAGAAAATACTGAGCTGCATAAAAGAGTGCGAAACTTATATGTTCTCAGAATAAGACAGAAAAAAACGCACGTAAAACATAAAATTAAATTTTTTTACAAAGAATTAAACTTTTATCTTATTAAATATAAGGTATTTTTATTTTATTAATGTCGTGTTTAGTTTAAAAAGGCTAATTTTACTAACTTTAAATAACTACTATTTTATACCTATTAACGCGCTTGTAGGATTTATTAAAAGAACAAAAAAACAGTGATTACAATTTGATGCAGAAAAGTAAAAATTTTTTTGCAGTAATAACATACTGAATTGTAAGAGAGTTTTCAAGCATTTTGTTAATAACATAAAACTCTGAAAAAAGTTTAAAAAATTTTCAACACTTACTACTCTTATAAACTGTAATTTGTTGTACTACTTGTTGGTAAATTCGATTCCTAACAAAAATGGTAAGATATATTTTGTTAATAAACACCGTTCTCTAACAAAAAGGTTTATTATGTACCTACTACTTTTTTTAATAAACTTTACTCTATAATGAGTCGTTATTTTAGTAAACATAAGAATAAAAATTTATTTAGGAAACTGAAATTTCTTGTCCTTGAGATTTAATGACCTACTACTATATTGTACATTAAAATAAGTTTTTTTGTACTGACTTGCCTTATTAATATTTTGTTTCAGTCACAATACCGAGAAGGTTATATATTTTCTTCTACTAGAACGTAAACGTAAGCGACCTACACGTGAGGATGAATTAGATGATTTAAGAACTAGCATACAAACTACAAAAAATCAGCAAGAAGATCCACCAAAAAAACGTATTGACACTTGCAGAATAAATGGTAACTCAACATTAAACCTTGGGCAAATCAGTCAAGGATCTCCTATAACGCCAAGAAAGCAACTAAGGTATATTTTGTCATTTTTTCAATTATTGCGATACTAAAAATATGACAGTCCGTTTTACTAAATTTAATAATAAATCTTGGTACCAGAGCGCTTTCTATAGCCTATTATACTTTATTGTGAGAGCACTGACCTTCGTACGTAAGAGGGAGATTAGGTAACTGTATACAACTATGTGTAGGATAATTGTTTCTTTAAAAAATTATAAAAACTTTTCATTTTATGGCAAAATCGAACATTTTTCGTTTGAGTTCAGAATATAATCTTTTGATGATTGGAGAGTATTTTTGAGGAATATACTTAATGAGATCAAAATCCAAAGTTGAACAGAAATGTTATGTCTTCTTTGTTATTATTGAATTTTTTGTTTGAATCATTCTTTCCATGTACATTGTACATGACTAGTTAATTTTTCTTTGAATTCTTAAAACTGCTTGTTTCATTTTAGTTATTCGAATTTTTATCTCATTATTTAAATAAATATTTTTAAAAATGAGAGATAATTTAATGTAGCAATAACTAACAAGAAAACAACTTGTTATTTAAATCATTCTAAGTTACTAGGGAGAAAAATGTAAAATTACATATTTTAACCAACTGACATATTACTGAAAATCTAAGTAAGGAGTATTATCTGAATATAAGTTTGTACAGTTTTCTTCAGAATAAATTTTTATAAAAAGTAAAAATTTTTAATAAATATTTTTACTAAGTGGACTTCAATTATCTGTTCTATATTTGTCTTTAATAAGAGAAATGCATCAACGTAATGTAAAGTAGCATTTTGCTTTGTACAGAACATGACACTTTTTTTTGGTAAATTATTAGGTCTTTCAATTATAAAAGTGTATCTCATAAATATGCTATGTGCTCAATACATTATTATAAAAAAATCTTTAAACAAATAATCACGAATAAAGTGTTTGTAACAAAAAGGGTATTAGGCCAATTTAGAAGACGAGCTCATCTCCTTTGAAAAAAGTTGACGTTGAGTTGTGTGAATATAAATTATCTTTTAAGCCATACTTTTTTACACGCAATCAAAGCGACAGAGTTCACCAACGACTTGACACTCGTGGCTTTAAAAAAATACGTAACGAAAGTCTATTTTGCGTATCATTTTCCCTGCATCCAACCCTGACTTGGCCTACTTCATCTTCTTTTCGTATATCATTAATATGCCAAACCATCCCATGTCATTCTATAAGAGCGCATATGTCAAAAAAGCAAGTTACAATATTTATTAAATCTCATTTTTTTATTTCTTACTTGATTTTTCTCAAGGAAGAGAGAGAAAACAATTTTTTTTTAAAACAGAACCAATGCTTTTTAGCAGATGGCCCAAGTATGCTACTCATTTTTTTACGAGCGATCTTAATAATGTAAAACCTTTTATTTCTTTTTATAGTGTCCTTTGTACCTTACTTTTAATGTAAACATTTATTTACTGATAGTAAAGAAAATTTTAATAGTGTTAAATAATCATTCTTTCCACCATGTTTATTAAATTACTTTTTAAACTTTTTTTACGTAACAGTTACTCTATGTGAAAATGAATAGTCACTCAATTTTTTTTTATTTATGGTTTAGTTTTCATTACGTTAATAGCTTTTTTAATTAATTTTTTTCATTGTTAGTACATTTATATAAAATTTAATAGAGTGGTTACTAC